CCAAGCCAATCTCTGGCTGTTGCTGGGCTGGTGCACCCACCCTGCCAACCCCACTGTGATGGCGGCCCACACCTGGCTGACCCCCGCCGGTTGTTAAAGCCCCTTCGTAACCCTGCTGCCCACCCCACAGCAGCTGCCAAAGGTGTTTGTGGGGCTGCCTGGTTCCCCCACCACAGAGAGAGGACTCACAGCGCTGGGGATGGGTTGGCACAGGCTCTGATGAGCCAGCAGTGATGACAACGCTGCCACCACCGTGGAGGAGAAGCGTGCTGCTTGGCAGGCATGACCACACACCCACCCCACAGCCAGCTGGCACTCCGGACCTTTGTGAGATGGCCATTGTTCCAGATGGTCCCCACCCCATGAGAGACATGAGGAAGGAGGCAGTGTCACCCTGCTTGTTGCCATACCTGAGAGGGGAAACATCTACCCCTGTGTGGGGCAGGTGCCAGGGTGGGAAAGAGCCACCGGTGGCAGGAAGATGGCTCCGGTCCATGACACATCTTGCTGGGGATCATGGTAAGGTGGCAGTTCATCCAGTCAACATCCCACCTGGGAGCCACAGACGCCTACAGAACTCCTGTAGCGAGCAAGGAGGGCTTTGCTTGAGGCAGCCACGGAAAGCAGGATGGTGGCACCCAGCCATGGCAGCAGGAGCGTTATGGGAAGGCGGTGAAGGGAAGAGGAGGCCCAAAGCTCAGTGCTGAGTCAGGTTGAGCAAGCGCTGCCTCCCTCAAGCCACTGATCCCCACCGATTGTGCAATGGACGCTGGGGCCTGGAGCGGGGCCTCCTCCCCCAGCCCTTATCTTTGCTGCTTCCTCCTCCTCCAGGATTGTGCCCAGGCAGCAGGATCTTGTGCAAAACAAAGCTGAGAAGCTCTGGGGCTAATTAATTACTAGCTGCTGGTAATGCTGACTGAGCCCCGGGGACTCCAAGGCTGGAACAGAGGAGAAAGTGCAGAGAGATACTGGAAAATTACTGTTTAATTCTTCAGCGTTACACTGGAAAATTACTGTTTAATTCTTCAGCATTACGTCTGACTATATGGCATCTGGTAGATGAGGGACAGGAAGAGGCTGATAACGAGCCATGCACTGCAATAGCTCTGCAGGCCTTCTCCTCCCCAGCAGCAGGGGCAGCCAGGGCCCTGGAGGGCTGTTTCTGGCCCTGGTGAGAGTTCAGTGTCCAGCTGGATGCGGGTCCTCAGGCCAGCACTGCCCATGCCTGGCCCCGCGGCCATCAGTACTCCTGCTGAGTGTCGCAGCCGAGGAGCTCTATCCGCAGGGCAATGTGGTTGTGCCACTGGCGGGGGTGTATCCTCACATAGCGGGCAAAGAGCGGGGGCTCCAGCGTATTCATCACTGTGCTGGTGTGGTCTTGGTTTGCCTTGAAAGTCTGGAGAGGAGAGAGAAATCAGGGGTGTGCTCTCCTTTGCTGGTATAGGAGGTCATGGTAGGGAGCCCATGACTTGAGAACATGATCAACCCAGACAAGCACCACTTGGGAATGCTTTAGGGAGGAAAAAGCCCAGTCCAGCTCACTGGTCTTGCGAAAAACCCTGTGAGCATGTTTGCTGCCAAGGGCTGTGCTTGCTGCCCAGGACGGGGCCATGGGCTTCCTCTGGCCATGGAGCAGCCTACCTACCTTCTCCTTGCCGTCCTGCAGGACCAGGCTCCAGTGCACGCCGTTCTGGCTGCTGGAGACAGCAAACTCTTTCACAAACATGTGGGTGAAGACAGCTTTGGCACCTTGGGTTATGATTGCAGTCACCTTCTTGGTTACTTCAAAGTCCACCTGCAACCACTCACTGGGGCTGTTGCTCTGGGGAAGGACAGACTGCCTTCAACTCTTCAGCAGCAATGAGCAGCTGAAGCCAAGATAGCCCTGCATATAGTCCTGGGCTTCACCTGCCCTACCAGGCATCTGGTTGGAGCTGCTGGGTGCTAAATCAGTGTGGCAACTCTCCTGCCTGTGTGCAGGTGGCTTACATGGTGCATATGGCTGTACACACTCCCCACGCAGCCCTGACTAGGAGAGCTTGCAAGCACCCAGCCTGCCTGCTGGGATCCCACCTGCCTGCCCATGCCCCAGCCATCTGCCTGGGGCTACCTTTGGCCTCCATGCATTGGTCCTCCCCTGTAGGTTCAGACGGGCCTGGGAGGGTGACCAGCTGGAGAAGACATTGCTGCTGTAGGAGGATGCGGAGATGCGCTGGTCAGGGATCCCTCTGTTCTCCATTCCTAGGGGCATGGAGCAGCCTGGAAGAGAACAGCAATGCTTGTCAGAGGATGAAACAGACCCATCATGGATGTGCCTTCTGGCTGCTCACTGCTCCGGCCACCCTTTGTGCACTGTCCCTAGTTACAGGTTCTCCTGTGCCTTGCTGCAGTGTCATGGTCCCCCCACTGCTCAGGGCCCCTGTGTGCAGCACGGCTCTGGCTGGGGAGTACCAAACTACACCTGCCACCAGGCCCACCTTCTTTTCTCTCTGGAGATTTTATCTAGGAGAAACATGAAGGAATTGTGCATCTGCCAGGCCATAAGGAGAACCTGTTTCCAGGGGAAGGACAAGAATACCTGGCAGGGAGACATCCTGCACATGGTGTGATCAGGTGTGCGGGTGCACCCCAGGGTTGTGGCATGGGGCGACAGCACAGCCGCTGCTGCTTGTAGCTGCTGGAGAGTCCGCCCTGCTGGTCTGAGAAGCTAAAGAAAGGATCACAGAGCACCATTTCCCCAGGTCATACTGTGGGCCAGAGCAGTCTCGCCTTGGAGTGGCAAAATCAGAGGAAAAGCCAATAGCATCTGGCTCTGCTTGTTCCCTTCTTCCCCAGACTGAGGCAGCAGCTCCCCGGCTATCAGCTTAGCTGCTGCTGGAGGTTTATGGTGGTTCAGGAAAAAGCGGTGGTGAGAACTGCCCCCATGCTCTCCCTCTGGTATTGCTATCTCTAAGATCATAATGAGATTTTCCAGCTTTGTTCCCCCAACATCTCAGTGTTGGCTCCAGCCTCCTCCTTCCCTGTCCACAACTGCCTGGGAAGTCCTGAAACACGTGGAGCTGGTGCTCAGCACCCCACTGGTTCAAGGCTCCAGCTTTGGTGCTTGGTATCCAGAGGTGGGACGTACTGTTCAGATCGCAGCCGATGAGTTCCATGCGCAGTGTGGTCCGGATGCTGTAGTGAGTAGGGTTAATGCGGATGTACCGGGCTATGATCGGAGGGTTGAAGCGATTTTCTTTCACTCCGGTTGCATCCACATTTGCAAAGAACAGCTGTAGGGAA